ACCAGATGAATCGAGGACAGTTTACATCAAAGTATACAAAGGACGATATCATCAACGTGGCAGTGGTCTCGGAGGTATCTTGAAGATGGCATTACCTCTCCTTAAATCTGCCGGAACATTGGTGCTCAAGATGGGTAAAAAGATCCTGCCTGGGTTGGTGAGTGATGTGGTTGCAGGCAAACGCAAATGGTCAGAGAGTCTGGAACATCGTGGAACAGCAGCCCTGATGGATGTCTTGGAGGAACGTGAGGAGCAGAGACCCTGTAAAAGACGTAAAGTCGTCCCAACCACCACCATCACCCACCAGAAACAGTGTAAAAGGAAAAGAAAAATGGTTTAAAGGTCAGTCCTCATCAGACTTTCAACCTGACCAGATGTCCTTCAAGGCAGAGAAAAGGGAGGAACATCCATGATCATGATGCGCCAAGATGCTTGCGAATGTTCAAAGGCCCAGTTAGATCTCTTTACTGTACCCTCTGAGTCCACCTCGGTGCAAGAGGGTCAGTGGATTCGCTATAGTTCTTTGGCACCACCCTCTGTGGCAGGACCGCTCCAGTTTAACATTTCAAGTCCTGTGAACGCTTACATTGATTTGAAACAGTGCTACGTGAGAGTATGTCTACATGTACGTGCGACGTAAGATGAAGATGGCACAGATACTGTTCTAGCGAATAACCCCGTATCGACAGTCAACAATGTGATGCATTCCCTGTTTCGCGAAGTGCAGCTGCAAGTGGGACACAATCAGTTGGAGATCACGCCCTCCATGGGCACTTACCCTTACAGAGCCTACTTGAAAACCCTTCTGAGTTATGGTACAGGAGCCAAAACATCTCACCTTCAATGTCCTGGATAGTTCACCGATAGTGCTGGTAAAATGGACGCCTTCAATCCTGATGCAGAGGCAAACGCAAGAAACACAGGTGTCAGAACGCCACTCGGTCCTATCATGCCCACCAAAGAAGTGGAACTGACAGGACGTCTACACTGTGACCTGTTTCTTCAAGAACTCTATCTGTTGGATGGTGTCCCTATGAAACTGGAATTGCTACGAAGTCCCGATGAGTTCTTCTTCATGTGTGCTGCTGATGGTGTCTACAAACTAGCCCTGACCAAAGCCGAATTCTATGTCCATTAACTCAACATCGATCCTGCTGTGTCCAGTCTGAATGCAGGGGTGACTGCCAAGTATCCCCTTTCACGTGTGCGAGTGACAGCCCATGACATCCCCACAGGTGGTAGAGACAAGGATCAGCTCATCGGTGGCCATTTTACCAAAAGGCGTGGTCCTGGGACTGGTGGACAATAGTGCCTATGTAGGTAGCAAAGAGAAGAATCCATACAACTTCAAACACAACCATGTCACCATGATGAAGCTGAAACTCAACAGTCAGGAAGTCCATGGGATGGAAATGAAAAGCGACTTCAGCAACAACAGTGCCAATTTGAAACAAATCTACATGAATCTGTTCCGAAACACGGGACAACTGTGGCGACCTGAGACCTGTGAGGTGTCTGTCAAGGACTTTGCTCAAGGTTACACCTTGTGGGTGGTGGATCTCACACCAGACCTTGGCGCTGATGAAGGGATCAACTATCCTAGACACACTGGCAAGCTGGGTTTGGAAATCCAGTTTGGACAAGCTCTCGAGAACCCAGTCACCCTCATCTGCTGTGAGGAATACGAAAATGTTCTGGAAATAGATCGTTTCAGGAATGCAATGATGGTATAAAAAGAGCAGCGACAGACGATCATGGCACACTTTTCCCCCTCCTACAAGGACCATGGATGAACCACTCGGTTGAGCACCTTGGATTTAGAAGCCCTCATGACTGATGACGAACCACTTTATGCCATCTACCGGGGCACCCTGGACAGAGATGACTTTGCCAGACTGGGATGGCAACAGCATGACCCCTTTTACCCCGAAGCCTACGTGGTCAACACAGATTTAAGCGATCAACCTGGCACACACTGGGTGAGCATCTGTCGTCCAGCTCCTGGATCCGTGTACTGTTTCTACATGCTGACCTATCGCGTGCGTGGGTGGACTTTTAATCAAGTGTTAGATACGTTGGACTGGAAGGACACCGCCAAGAATGATGCCACGGTATTGGCATGGTTTCATACCAAAATGTTTACCTCCGTTCCTGTGGATGAGATGCCAGACTTTCGACTGAGTGCCCAGACGCGTTCCCTACATCAAAAGAACCAACCTTTCTGTCCTTATTGACCTGACACTTGTTCACTGAACCTACGATCACCTTACTGTCAACGTTCCTGTTTGAGGAGTGTACATACGTTCACTGCATTTTAGGAGTGTACATACGTTCACATACGTGTACATACGTTCATATTCACAAAAATCACAGGGACGCCCCTAATCCTGTGACTTTTGTTTTGTTGTGTTGGTTCATGTGAGCGGGGGATTAAAAAAAAGTTGAACAAATAGTAGTGTTATGTTGTCTGTAGGATGAAGAAAAAAATAAAACAAGATCGACATCTGACCGTTTCCTGCATTCCTACACCACGTCCATGTCTATCGAATCACCTTTAGAAATTCAGGCAACACCTTTAGAATTCCACACCATGATCGTAGCACTAAGGTGATCGCCACTCACCGACTTTTAACTTGGACGAACGGCTGTCATAGTGGGCTACAATACACGACCGCCTTGTGGAAGGAAACCTTACACCTCAACGTTTACAATCACATCACCATACCCGATGACATGATTTGTGGAATGTTGTTGCAAAATCCTTCGCCGATATGACGTCAACCTAGCAACAAAGTGGCAGAGTCGTCGACTGTGTGTGATAAGCTCGTCTTAGTGAGCTATCATTTCCACATGCCATCGCCACACACACCCTCAAACCCAAACAAAGAACCCACCTCCTCCTCCTCCCTCCCTCCCCCCACCACCACCACCACCACCCACTTACTCACCCACCACCACCCACTTATTCACCCACAACCACCCACTTACTCACCCACCACCACCTCCCTCCAACACCACCACCGCCTTTACTATGTTTAGAACAACAAAAGAGATATTAGACGCGCTTCATTTACCGCTCAGGTGAAACCAAAGAACACGGGTATGGGGCTGGCGATGTTCGATCCCATGGGTAGATATATCTGTACAGCACATTCCGGCGCATTAGACCACTTGGCCACCCGCCCCTCCCCTCTTTACAATATGTGAAGCGATTTTAGGTTTCAGAATGCAAACATTTAGGTAAAAGATGTTACAAGGCTTACACAGTTTATGTAAGGGGTATGCAGAACTTGCGTAGCGGCCTGAGATCACAGTATACCGAATATATCCAAAATAGCGCTGTAAAATCAAAGAATGTACGTCCTTAGAATGCTACAATAGTACAAAGAATGGTAGTGACTGAATGTTATACACCACAGTCAACGACACTCCAGCTTTATGAAGAAGGCACGTAAACTAGTGTCAGGCCCAGGCAGTCACTGGTTGACGTCGTACTCTTCGGTACTATCCAGGCACATCAATAGCAAAGGGTACCATATATATTAGGTGTATTCTTAGAGAGACGAAGATACCGTTTACAGAAGGATATTTGGACATATTCAATTCATTTGTTGTACGATGTTCCCCAAACTTCAGAGTCGTCCACGGTTTCGAAATCGACTGTAAGCACCGTTTTCTGAAGGTTTTGTTAGAGGTGACGGAGGTGAAACATGACACTGCCATGGAATGAGTGCTTTCCTTTTTGGATTATCTGCATGTGACGCAAGAAGAAAGATTCAAGTCCATGAACAATCTACACTCTGGGAGGGTGAGAGATAATTGAAACTGGTGACTTTTAACGAAATGAATCACTATCAAACCGAGATGATACCAGGTGTTCGCGAAAAGGTGAACGTATCCTGCTCCACCGAGGGCACCCATCACAAACACATGCATAGGCAAGTGAATTGTTCACCTGAAAGAAAACGGGAACATAATTATGATACAAGTCAAAATAGGGAATTGCATCGGCCATTATTTTCGTAACTGATGGGTCAAATTACATCAGTTTCTTCGTTTCTGGACTATCTTTTATTCTCTGGCCAACACCAGAACAACGACATAAATATTTTGTTTAAAAATATCTCAAGATCTTTTTTCTTTTGGTAATTATCTAGATACGACAGTAGTGAATGTGTAAGTGATATGATGTCACGGGCACGTATGTTACAGTAGTAGAAATTTAGCAGAAATTGTCATTGTCGCTGAAAGATTAAATTATATAGACTTTGAAAACGTATTGTTTTCCCCTAAAGTTGCTGGTATCCGTTGGTGAATAGTCTTGACAACTAAACATGTCTTTGCTTGTATTTGTGGTGACGTTATTGTGTTGCTGTCAACCCGATGTGTCAGTTAGAATCTGTTAGTTATTCTTAGAGCTGTTCAGAATTGTATTTTACACGTTACATTCACGAATCTGAGCATGGTTAAATTATGCTTGGAATTGTTTGTGGTCATTACTGTTCATTTGAATTCGGCAATAATGTTGGTTGTCATTAAAATATTAATTATAATATCTGAAAACAACGCTAATGATTCAACCACATCAACTAATAAGGTTCTAAGCAGTGTCCATGTTACAATATTGATTTGATGAGTCATTGAGTGAATGTTATTTAATATATTCCGTCAGCAATATTCCAGATATACCACGGTGACGTTTAAGGAGGCAGGCCAGTGTTAAAAGCAATGATCTAAGGTGACAATTAACCAGGCCACATACTCTGTTACCTCCCAACCCTGATTTATGTCCGCTCTCGTGGCATTCATTTAGTGCAGGGAACCTATTCTGCTCGAAAGCTTAAACTGTCTTTCTGATCATCATTTGATAATTTGATGGTAAAAATATACTTGGAGATAACGAAAAAAAATAAATATGCATTGGATATAAAGCCCTCAAGGTTACTGTTACCTTTACTGACACAGAGCCTGCTTTCGTACTTCGTTTGACTGGTGGCTTTGTTTTTGTTGAATCGACAGAAAAAAAACGGATGCAGACATGCTCTCCACACGCTGCTGTTCTACAGCCTGTCTGAGGTAGGTTCTGTACATAGTGTAATGGTTGGACCATCCTCAACTCGTAATCAATGTTAAATCTTGGAGTGTATTCCTTAAGCCCCTATCTCACATTCACGAATCTGAGCACGACTGAACACGATTAAACGGTTTTCCTTAAATCGTGTTAGAACGTATGAAGGTCGCTCACTCATTCGTGTTCATTCACGTGGCGTGGTCGGTCTCGCGCAGACGTATGGTTGTCGCAGCTCGGCTTAAATCGATGCAATGTAAAAAATTATAACACGATTTAAGCCGAGCTGAAAAGTCGTGTTCAGTCCTATGAAGGTCGCATGAGGGTCGTTTTTGGTCGTATGAGGGTCGTCTTTGGTTAAGAAATTTGCATAAACCACAAGGTCGAGCACGAATCAACACGATTTTTCAACTTTTCTTAAATCGTCTTCGCAATTTCTTAAATCGTGTATGTGAGATAGGGGCTTTAGTCTTAAGCTCTAGTTATTCTCTTGCATTGACAATCTATATTTACCGTATGCCCTCATTCGCTCATTGTTATCATCAGCGCTTCTGTTGTCACTACCCCGTGGTTACCTGGTAGCTTGTCACAGTGCTACCAGCTCATTGATCGACGGATGTTGTATCCTTGACTTGTAGTTCTAGACAGGGAAACCAGGGTCCATCGAGCATCTTAAATTATAATGTTATGTCATGAGGTAGGTCTGGATAATCCATATGTAAACAAGATTCAATCTTGATCTACTATCCATAAGTGTTCCCCAGATGACTATCACACAACACAATATGGCGGCAATATGAACCTTATATGAATTATGCTCGATTTGTCACTATAAACCTCCTTTCAATTAAAACTTTTAATGCTGTATGGAAAAAAAAACTTGGGTACTATTTGGTTGTGAAAAACTGGTCATTGGTGATCTCCATGAGGCAGTCAATTTCACACTGTTCCTGATTGTTTACATATTTCGAATCAATGCCTTCAACATTGCAAACCATCAGGTTTCCGTCGCAAACTTTGACTGATGTTATAAAATCATTTCTTGACTACTCGCTGGATATATTAGTTAAGCAATCGTTATTAATGGTGCATCGGTTATAATGTTCCAATCTTGGTTTACCACAGTTAAAGATCAATCCACAAATGTCAATCATTTCCTTGTAAGTGAGTTATCAGGTAATCATGTGTGTTGTATGTGCTATTATTTAACTAGGTTTTTTAATGTTTTTAATGTAAGGCTTTTGACTTTCTCACACAACCCTTCATGTACATTTACTGCATCTTCGATATTTGCTTTGAATCAAACCTCTGGATTTATGAAGCATTTTGAGTATATAATCCTTGAATAGTGGTGCCTCTAAATTGCTTACATTATACTCATAAAGTTTTGAACATAATCGCAATTCCGGCCATATTGGAAATATTATCTGAGCCTATCACATAGTGATTCTCTGTATCGTCATGCAAAATGCGAATATGTATTACGCATGAGTATGCGCTATATCCAGTGATTTCTGGGGATGCAATATTTACAGCACACCATGACGGACAAGGTTATTAAGCTTAAATGACTTTCGACTGAAATAATAAAACCAAACACTGCAAACACGAAAACGTCGTTTTTTTCCGTATATGGTCATTGGACGGAAAAACGACTAAATATTCATTAAAATTGATTAATTGGCGAGCGTCTAGAAAGCTTAAGTGTACGGAAAAGGGTCGAGTTTTTCAAGCGTAAAATGGACGGAAAAACGATGCTTTTTGCCCCGCCTTGTACAACTGTTAACGGCCAATGAGATGGTGCTGGTCCCCCGACGCACGTGATGCCTAAGGCTTCGTTTCGGAAGCATTAGGTTTCGTATTTCTGGCATGCCTTGCTCTAGTATCTGTCGCGGGTAGTGCAGCGAGATTTGCTGATAAGCCAGTTTTAGGATATGTAACATGTTAAAGGAATTCAGACAAGTCAAACCAAACCATGTTACCAAGTTTATTCTGTATTCTTGAAATGACATAAACACTGACCACTTCCACATTTCTGGGGAAAACCCTGGGAATTTCCTGGTACATGTACGAATTCATACAGAAGCGTTGTTATTCGTCACTTAGACCCTTTAATTTTGAATTTAGCATCTTAGCTTATTCTGGGATAAGTCAGAGAGTTTGGTTGCATAGCCCGTTTAAGGTATACCCTCGCTACAACCAATCCTAGAGAAATAAAAACGAAAAAAAACAAACATAAAAACTATCGTAGTGACAATCTACAGCAATCTATGAGATAACCTTAGTATCTATTTGACACATCTTTACAATCACCTATCAATGATCGGCCAATTGATCAGTGATGACAAAGGCTTGAAATAACCACAGGTTTATTAACAACTTCGGAAATATCTCCCGTCACGTTTATCGTGTCGGCCATTATGACGTATTGTACTTGATGTAAATGTATAACGATGCTCTGTCATTGTGATTGACTTACTGAGGCAATTCGTTAATAGATCTTCTCATCTACTAAGGATATTGTTTGGAATTCATTTCTTATAAACAGACTAAAAGGGATGTTCCTCGCTTTTGGGGGAACTATTTTATTCCGGGATGGCCTATTAAAGCTAGTAGTAAGTGAAGGCACCATGCATGTATATGATCTGTTATTATATGTGTTTAAATTACTGTTTTGGGCTTTAATAAAATACACTGACGCCTCCACTAGACGAACAAACATGGCGGACACTCCATGTATTTACTATAGAAAATCGCTAGAACGGGTGGTTAAATATTTTTCTTAGCATTTTCATGAATGCTCTTGCAACGTATATGTCACGAGAATAACGTCCGTTGTTACTTTTAGTGAAGGAAAACATTATTTAAGCTGTTTCGAGACTCGAAAGTGTTCGTCACATCGGTGAAATGTAAACAATGACACACACCACATTTTCAACAGTGATATGTGCGTTAATATTTCGTGTCAGCTCACTGTTATCACGAAATCGTATACATGATACGATCTTCATTTTGTAAATTTGATGAAGTAAATATCGCCGATTATGCCCCGTATTTTCCCACTGTGAAATGAAGGTTTAGCGGAATTATTGAACGCCCAGTATCCTTAACAATCGTGTTTAATGATAGTGTCTGTCATTGGTTCTGATATTTGTCCTCTGGATTTTATTCACATGAAAATCAATTTATTTGACATTTGTTTTCTTATTACCCAACGAAATTAATCATAAGTATATCTAATAATTTTGGAATCATATTGTATTAATTTCAGTCTAGTGTTTCTGAACTAGATCTATGTGTGTTATTGTTAAAATGTCGGGTCTGAATGGGATAATAATTAAGAATATGATCATAATTAATTTGGTACAGTGGCAAACAAATCCATGAGTATTCTATATGATGCAATATAGCCACTGGGGAATCCGTGTACAGAACAACATAAAGAACTGTGCATACCATTATTATTGAAAAATAGTTATGATTATAATTACCATGTTAGATGAAATATATGTGTACGAAATTATCTACAAATAAACGACTCAATAAAAGAAGTTAAGTTACATTACTGTTCAAGCAAAGGACAAAAACCCAGCATGATCATAAAGGACCACTCGCTTATTAGGTTCTTGTTTACTTACGAGCAGAGTTGGCCATGTTAGATGATATAACCAAAATCCAGGCGCTCCGGCGGGGGACTAACTGGTCTTGTTATTGTGTGGTATGAGCTGTGACGTAGACCCAAGAGAATAATGTATAAAATGAGACCAACTCAAGTCTATAATGATTGGGAAAGTCTAGATTTCAACAGCTCTAGTCTGAAATTAAGAATTGTTCTGTGCTCCTTTTTAATTGCATTATTTTCATTTTGTAGACATGGATAGACCAACCAGGAAAGAAATTGATGAAATATTAATATCACATGTTACCACTGATCCAGTCAAATTCATCACATAATAATATATTAGTATTTGATATTATGACATTTGATCATTAGGACATGATCATGTACAGGCTCACTGTAGTAATGTACATACTAGTCAACTTGATTATAATTTTTATTATAGTGTAGCGCGGCATCAACGATTACTATATTATCCTCACTTGTCACTGATGTATTGACATCGAACAATGGACGACAATTCGAAAGTCTTATTTGAGCTATAAATAGCTTCAATAGGGACAGTGACGGTGTCAGTACAATTTTCGTAGTTAAAAATATGTATCTACAAAATATAATCTGAAGCAGCTAAGAACAATAACAGAATTGAGGCAATCTAGGCTTGACAAATAGTTCTAGACTTGAGTTGGATTCCTTTTAAATTTATTTTCTATGGACTGGGAGGCGTACAAGAGCGACAGTATCGCATGAAGAACTGGAGAACTGGGTCAGTGTAATCGGATATGTTGTGGAGTTTCGGGTTTGGGCTGTTTGCTGAATAGAACAAGGGCTCACGAACATGGGCACAATGTAGAGATTAAACCATTAGCACCTCTGTTTATATAAGATATGTAATTGTGATTTGAAATCTCTTTTGAACAATTGCGAGTTATTGTATACTCTGTATTCTTTCGTTATGGTAGAATATATATTTTCTATGTTGCATGTTGAATTATCCACAAATAATGAGAACTACAACGTAAACCTCTCTCTGGATATATACAATAATACTACTGAGGGGCATATCTGACTAATGCACTAATATTTCTTTTTTAAATACTGTCCGTTACAGGAATTCTCATCATTATATTATACTTTATATAGTTTAAAAGTCAAATAATGGCAAATTGTGTATCTTTCTACATTTTGAATTCATTATAATTTGTGATAAATGAATTATTAATTTCGTATTATGAATTAAATAAACTGAAATATGATAGTAAAAACACTCACTAACGTAACTATTTGTGAAAAAATCAAATATTCAAAGTTAAGGGGTTTGAACATGTACATTGAATGACAGACAAGAAAGCAACCCAATAATTAAATTATGAATCAAATCATGTTATA